CCCCAAAACCCCAAAACCCCAAAACCCCATTCTGCAATATTTGTGAGATTCTGCAAATTTAATTAATTCGAGTTTCAATACATAGTCCTAGTTTTCTTTTGCTTATCTGCATCAATATTCAATAATTCCCTATTAGCTTCAGTCACCTAAAGGTTGAATAAGAATCTCATAATAAATAAATTTACAAAAGCAATATGAGCTTTGATCTATGCAGCTTTTTCACTAAAAGCATCAATCTTCCTATTCAAGACTTTTTCCTTCTTGGTTATGTATTGCAAAGTCTCATCCTAAGTTAATTCCACGTAAAAGTCTTTCGAAATTTTAACCATAATTTTATTGAGTTCATCCCTGTATAAAATTATATATTCAACATCACATACACCTCTGCTTAAACGAAAAAGTGGCATCCTAGATCAACTCTTGCCTCATATTTTTTAAGCTTTTACTCTTTTATCATCTCTATAGTGTTCCTTAATTATAGACTAAATTTAGTCAGGCCAGGTATTTATATTTTACTATTGTCCAAGTTCAATATATAGTTGTTCTCTATTTTTATATACTTTTTCTAGGTCCGGTCTAAGCTTTTCATCAATGAAATTTTCAAATTTCCTTATTTTTTCCTCCACATATTCCTAGGTCTTAATTGTTGTAGTCATTGTCTAAGATTAATATTTTAGTAATTATTTGCAATTATAAAGTTAAATAAAAATTTATTGAATCTTTTAGATATGGAAGAAAGCCAGAAAGAAAGCGCTTTTAATGTTCAGAATTAAAATTTAGATGTTTCACAAAAATAGGAAATTCAACAAACTAATAAAAAGGTTAATTTCATGCTTTAATAAAATGAATCACCACCTACAAGTCATACTGAAAATAAACAGCAATAGGAAATCATTTAATTTAAGAAGCCTTAATAAGCAATATACAATTCTATGAAGAGAAAAACTTATTCAAAATATGATCTTGTAAAGGTTAGAGTCATCTTGTAAGATCATTTTTACATATTCTCAAGATTTCTTATCAGTAGAGTACTAACACTTATTAAGGTAAGTTATTAAACTTATTCAAAATTCATATGCTTATGATTAGGTGAAAGAAAAAGACTCTATCAGAATGACTTTAGAAGTTAAAAAGATGCTAATAGAGTCAAACAGACTTGAAATTAGTCAGGCAGAGTTAGAAAGCTACTTGTTTGAAGTGCTTAAGAAATTTGGCTACAATGATGAATTTGTGAAGCAATATAAAATGATCACGGCATTCTATCAGAAAAGACTTCCATTTATCATAATGATTGTAGGCACAGATTGTATGGGGAAATCCACTTTGGTTACATAACTGGGTGAGAGAATAAATGTCTCAAATATTGTACAAACAAGTATTGTACAAAAGGTTATGATGGGTCTTAGCTAATTAATGCAAGCAAACTAGAAAGCGAAAATAGGATTGGAAGATGAGAATGTTGACTAATTGACTGACGAAGATATCATTAATAACTATCAGGGGCTTTGTAAGCATATAAGAAAAGGCTGCAACTTTGATATATAGAAATGCTTTGTTGACGGAAAACCATTAATTATAGAAGGTAGTCATCTGGATCCAAATTTATATCTCAGAAAAGGTATTGCAGATGATGGAAGTTAGAAACTAGAAATATTTACTCCAAATCCTGAAGACGAAGAAGAATCTATGATTGAAAATGATTCAATCAAGAAAATGAGGAAGTAAATGTAAGAAATAAATTAAAGCGGTGCTATGATTATTCCATTTTTGCTGACTATATCACCAGAGAGTCATGGTCTTTGTCTTGAGAGTAAAATTACTTAAGAGTTTTCTCAAAAACCTCATAAGGATCTGCCAATAAATGTAAAACAATATGTGAAGAGCTAAATTAGAAAATATCAGACAATTCAGAATTATTTAATTAAAGAGTGTGAGAAATTTGGATTCAAAATATTAGAGATTAACATAAATTACTTTGAGGAAACTATTGAGAAAATGCATGATCACATTAATATTTGCTAGATTTGATTGATTATATATTGACATTTATCTCTTGATTAAAGTAGGATGGGGTTTTGGGGTTTTGGGGTTTTGGGG